GGACGGAGATCAGCAGGGGATAAGTAGATCAGGGAGTTCTTACACGGGATGACTGCAGTCCTCTAAGGGAGTGACCGAGACACTGGCTGGAAGCGCTATGGCGATGGGAGCGATGGAGGAACTGAGGAAACATAGGTCCAGCTCCGTCTCTGTGGAGAAGGACCCACAGGATATGACAGAGGATGTTCTGGCAGCCCCAGCGTTCTGTAGCAGTTGTGTGTCAGCATGAATTCATAGGTTCATAATAGGTGAGCTTTCTGTGGTTTTGCACCTTCCTTGAGCAGAGTTTTCTGAACCTGGAGCAGAAGCTGAGGAGGCGTGTTGGCAGCGGGAGTGTCCTCTAACTGAGGATTGAATGCCAGAAGCATATGAAGTCATGGAAACCAGGGGTGGAGGAGAGTGTGGAACCACCCATTGTAGGTCCAGGCTGGATGAGTGGTCTGCTGGGCCTCCGTGGGTTCAGATGCAGATGGGAGGGTGAGAGCCTGAAGGATTCTGGTGTGGTTGAATGGCAGGTTCTCTGGGTGTGGGGCAGTGGGAGAGGTGATTGATGAGGAGGTTATAGTCAAAGCAGAACACAAATTCGTGGGTGACTGAGCACCATGACATGCTAAGCCCCAGGGTGTGTCCATATGGTATGCAGATGGGGTGTTTGTGTGGTATCCTGGCAGACAAAAAGCATGATCTCTGTATGCCAGGAATGATGTTCAGTGATCAGGTTTGAGGTGTGTGTGTGTGTTGGTGTGGCTGTTCTATGTGTATGTACCTGTGCATGTGTAATAATAGCTCTCATGTCTACAAATAATGATTGAAATAACATTTCCTTCCTGCCCATATACATTGTCAGAATTCTCACCCAATTGTTTTGTTTTTTTTACATATAAGATGACCAATCAGCAATAATGGTCCAGAAGCTGTTGCTAGTAGGGTCATTTATTTGTTTTTTAATTACATACACAGGGTAGGGCAAATGTAGGTTTATAGTTGTTTGCATGAAAAATACAAGAATAAACTCTGTTTCACCTACTCACAACTATAAACCTACGTTTGCCCCAACCTGTATTACGGCTTTTCATGGGTGGGGCATATTTGGATCTTTATTTTCTGGTGTGTATCTCTTATCTCCAATCTATTTTGTAAATTGCCCCCAAGGTGGCTACTCTTTTTATATCCCTTATGTCCCTTCACTCCCTATAGCTATTCACACAGTACTGTGTATATAATATTTTCTGAATAAAGAGAGTAGGTTTGGCTTTTTGTGACAAATTGTCTCACAAAATAGAAAAGAGGATAGAAGAAGGGCATAGCCAAGATGCTCAACTTGTATAGAGACTCTCGGAAGAGGAGTTTCTTTCAGGTGTACTATGGTCCCAAGTTCCCTTAGCACTCTTTAGCAATGATTCTACGATTACCATCCAGTCTCTGTTATCTTCAGAAAGAGGAAACTCTTCTGCCTTCAAAAATGTTTGTCTTCTGAACCCCAAGCCCTTTGTTTAATCTTCTTTTTCTGACCTCATCCAACATCTCGCTTTCATTTTGACATCAAATTCCTTGAATATGCAGTTATCTATTTTTCTTATACTTTCCCTTCTCTATGAGATGACCACCCCCCTCTCTTCCCTCCCTCCCCAACAGGGTTCTTCCTTCAGCTGGCATTCCACCAAGAAGCTCTGTGATAAGAACAGGGAAAGCTAATAAATTTAACTCCTCCAAGAACACCTGCATTTTACCAGGTGATTTTCCAAAATAGAAATACATTACAAAACCAAAGAAATAAATCTACAAGGTAAATGACAGGTAGTGGTGGTCTTCCCTGGGACTCCCTGAAATCATACTAGGTATGTGATTACCAACACTTACCCATTTGCCTGGCCCTGCCTGGGGGACCTAACTAATTCCATGATCTTAGAGATGTTAATTATATTTCCTCACTTAAAAGTGGTTATAGTAATACCTGTCTCTTGGGGTTGTTTGTGGAAGAACAAATGATGTAATTGGTGTGAAAGTGCTTCCTAAACTATGAAGTGCTTCCAAGTGGACTATTTCTCTATCTTCTAACACTTAATCAGGAATTGTTCCCTAAGGCTCTCTTCTGTGAGAGAGGGAAGATAAATGCTAATTGGGAATTTAACACCTGAGAAGCTGAACTACCACACAGTAATTATTCACCTGAAAATAAGGAGGTTTGACAAGTAATCTCTAATGTCTTTTCTGGTCCAAAACCTATGATTATAAAAAAGTACTTAATTGCAGATTGTTTTATACGTTCCAGATAGCTCGATTACCCTAAATCGAGGTGAATCTCCTTGAGGGCAGGAGCCATGTCTTGCAGTCCTTCTATAGCTTCTATAATAATACAGTGCTGATGCCTAAGAGATATTCAAGGAAAGATCCGCTGATATCCATTTCTCATATTGATTTATCTCTGTGGCCTGCTGCTTGTACAAAGAAGGCAAATTTGCCAGTGTATCTCCCCAGTGTATTTCACTCCACCACCTACTTCTCTACATTCCTGCCATTGTATGGTAAACAAGGCAGGTGGTCAAAAATCGGGAGATAGGCTAGCTTCTTAACCAGGTGGTTGTTGACATCTTTGAATCTTAGTTTTGTCATCTGAAAAATGGGCATGATGCCTTTCCCCTGCCCCAGGGGTTATAAAGATCAAATGAGAGGTTGAATGGAGGGCAAAAAGTTTCTAACTGTAAAGTACCTTTCTGGGGTGATGTAGCTACTGTACACACCTATCTCTTATCCTACCTCTTTGACAGGATTGGATCCTGAGATACGTAGCAAGAAACACACTTTCAAATACATTTTAGAATTTCAGATGTGGCTCACAGATGTGTGTTATTAACAATGCAAGGCCTTCTGATAGCTTCTTATTTAAAAAAATTCTTGCTAACCAAGACAGGTCAAAGTCATTAAAATTAAAAATTTCTGTATCCTCTATATTTTAAATCTCTGTTATTCCCCATCCTCCTTACAACTCTGGTCCTTGGAGAGTCTCAGGGGGATTTTCCAGGGTCAGGGCTGATTTCAGGCAAAAATTGGAAGTGAGCAATTGTGACACCTCCCCTATGCATATTTCTTTCTTGTTTTCAAGTAATTTTTATCCAAATTATTTCATTTAGTCCTTACAGCTCTGAGATCAGCAGGGCAAGGGGTGTTATCTGCAATTCAGAGATGAAATGGGGACTGTTTTGGCAGCACTTTGAGTTTAGAAAGCCCATCATCTTCCATAGGTCTCCTAGGATATCATGGATCTCTGGTCCTGCAGGCCAGTGAAGTCATGGACAGCAGCATGGGCCTCACCAGAGAGCTGGTTGGAAATGCAGACTATCAGGCCTATCCCAGACCTACTGAGTCAGAATCAGCATTTTAACAAGCCCCCAAGTTTGAGAACACTGACCCTCTATAGGGATTTGAGTGAAAGTATCAATGACTTAATATTATGTTCTCCAAGAAAAAGAAAGCTCCAAGGTATTTACTTTTTAAAAGAACTCATAGAGGAGAAATATTTAGCCCCAAACACTGAATGGTAGAATTCCAGACATCTGATCTCTCAGAAAGCTTTCCAGGGCCCTGACATAGAGGATCCCATCTCTTCGACTTACGCCAGAAACTTGTTTGCCAAACGATGTCACAGAATAAAGTTTGAGAGAGAAAAAGGAGGAAGAAATGATAGAGAAAATAGAAAATGATACAAACCTAAAATAGTCATTTATATATATGTATTTTCATAAAATATGCACTATAATAAATTTTACTATATGGGTGATAGCTAATCAAACAACACTGAAAAAATGTATCAACTTGCTAAAAAAACATTTAGAGTTCTGTTTTCATCATGATCAATTTGGAATCACCATAGACTATTCCACTTCTCTTTTCTACTAGTTAATCATCTTCTAAATTCTAAAAGACTACCCCCATGTTCATAGCAGCACAATTTACAATAGCTAAGATCTGGAAACAGGCCAAGTGTCTATCAGTAGACGAATGGATAAAAAAGCTGTGGTACATATACACAATGGAGTACTCTGCAGCTGTAAGAAAGAAAGATCTCTTATCCTTTGAGACGACATGGAGGGACCTGGAATGTATTATCCTAAGTGAAAAAAGCCAAGCAGAAAAAGACAAATACCACATGATCTCACTTATTTATGGAATATAATGAACATAACAGTCTGAGGAATAGGGTAGACCCAGAAACATGGAAGTAGGGTACAGACTGACAACCCTCAGAAGAGGGGGTGGTGGGGGGAGGGAAGAGATAAACCACAGAACTTATATGCATGTACGCATAACCAATGGACATGGACAACAAAGCCGGGGATGGGGCAGGGGGAATGGGGAGGAGGGTGTCAATGGGGTAAAAAAGAAGAAACATCTGTAACAAAAATAAAATAAAAAATAAAATAAAAAATAAAAATTAAAAAATAGAAATAAAAAAATAAAAGAGAAAAAAATAAAAATAAATAAACCAAAATAAATAAATAAATTCTAAAAGACGAACACATTATCTATTAGGTCAAATCTGTAGGAAGTTTGTTGCCTTTACAATGTTGTTCTTCAATCAACCCATTAAAAATTTTTTTTCCTGCGGTACGTTTGAAGTCTAGTTTGTCAAATTGTTAACAACTTCAGACTTTAATTACATGTTGGCTCCCCTTGGTGAGATTAGGAAAGTCGAATCAGAAACTGAGTTAGTAATCCTAGAATTATACATTGTAAACGCTTCAGAGATGATCCAATAAAAATTCTTCTTTTACAAATGGGAAAACTGAGGCTCAGAGAACAGATGTGATTTGCTCAAGATCACACTCTCACAGTGGGATTATTAGAGGTTTCATCTACAAAGACTTTTAGTAGAAGAAACCCTGAACAAAATGACACATTTCCCAGTGTTCTGGTTTTCATGTTCACCACATCCTTCACTCAGGGCCAACCTAGGAACTAAGATATTGGATCCAGCCTTTCCATGGTGCACATCCACTCACCGAGTCAACAATCTCCTGGATTTCTGGAGTGGCAGGTTTGGCTTCAGTTAAACCTCCAGGCATCATTTTGGCTGATTGCTTCTTTGCTGGGCAGGATATTGAAACTGAAATGATCAGGTAAGGGTGGAGACTCCAGTTTTTAAAGAGGGTGTTGTTGTTCACAAGCTCCGCCTATAGAATGTTTTATTTTCCTTAAACAGCAAAAGGCACAAGGAAAATGACGATGCCTCAAGACAAGTATTTCTGCTTCTTCAACAGAATAGCTAACAGGCATTCGGAGGAACGAGGGGCTGAGGGTGAACAAATGGGCGTGCACAAGGAGTCGTGTCCTAGCAAGAATCACACTTCCCTGCGTTCTCTGACAATGGTTCCATCCTGTCGCAGCTGAAGGATGACATCTGGAAACCACAGCCAGAGTTTCCCAATGTTTTAAAATTTTTACACACCAAATTTTTTTTTTTCATTCTCACCAGAGGACATTTTTGCATTTATATTCAGATAGAGCGGGAGGGAGAGAGGGAGGAAGAGAGAGAGAGAAACATTCATGAGAGAGAAACATGGAGTGGTTGCCACCCACACGACCCCAACTGTGGCCAGGGACAAACTGCAACTGAGGTACGTGCCCCTATGGGTACCAGACCCGGGTCTCTCTGGTCCGCGGGCTAATGCTCCAATCGCTGAGCCAAACCAGCCAGAGCCACAAAAAATTTTTTTAAGGAATATTTATTAATAATATCAGGACTGATTATTTCGAATCTACTTGACTTTATAAAGAAAATAAAAGGATTTATCTGGAGAACCATGGCTGGATAATTTATTTTACATTTATTTACATTTCTAGAACTCAGAAAAACACAAAAAATAAAACAACAAGCCCCTATATTCCTGTTACCCAGAATTAAAACTTCTAACATTTTGTCATATTTACTTTCTATCTTTTCTTGTACTTGTTTTTAAGAAATAAAATATTACTCCCCACCCCCAACACACACAGAGGGAAATTACATTGTGAGTTTGGTATCTTTCCAGCCTATTTTTATTTTTTGAATTAGTGTGTTAAAAATGTCTAGCAAGCTCTGGCCGGTTTGGCTCAGCAGTTGGTGTGTCGGCCTGTGACCAGAGAGTCCTGGGTTCAGTTCTATATTATGCTGTTTTTCTACTCAACATATTTTTGCCACTCCATGTTGATACACATAGATTGATCTAATTCATTTCCTTTAACTTTATTCTATGATAGCACTATCTATCCATCATCTCTATGTGCACTAACTGCTATATGTTAGTCCATATTTTATATACTTATTCCCCTATTGATGAAGATTTTGGTTGTTTCTGTTTTTTTACCCTTATCAACAATATTGCATTTTCCCTTTTTGTACATCTATGAGGGTCTCTGCAGGCAACTTATGTACAAGTAATATTGTTTTGTGTGAATATTTATTTGTATTATTTTATTTTATTAAAAAATTTTTTCTTTTTATTGATTTTTAGAGAGAGGGGAAGGGAGAGGGAGAGAAGACAGAAACATCGGTGAGAGAGAACATCGATTGGCCACCTCCTGCACCCTTCACTGGGGATTTGACCAACAGCCTGGGCATGTGCCCTGACCCGGAATCGAATTGGCGACATCTTGGTGCATGGGTTGGTGCTCAACCACTGAGCCACACCGGCCAGACTATTTGTATTACTTTATTCAAATTTTGGAATATGTAACATATACACATGATAAAAATGTTCAAAAGGAACAAAAGAGTTTACAATATAAAGAATTCTTCACCCACTCTGTTCCTTCTACTCTCCAGAGACAGCTACTGTCCCCAGTTCATTGTAGCCTTCAGAGACATTCTCTATACATACAAATATGCAAATAATTAACTAATCACCTACACATATACACATGTGTATACATTTAAAAAAAATAAATGGTACAAATGGTACCTTACTACATAAACTGTTATATACTCTTTTACCCCTAACAATATATTTTGGATATTGTCCTACATTACTACATAGGAAGGTGCTTTATTCATTGCAATGTCTGGCAGGTGCTTGACAGATTCTTGGACATAGGTAAGTGTCCGGCTGGATAATCTAAGAAATGCTATGCAGATGGTATATACAAGAATCAACCAATGAATGCATAAATAAGTGGAACAAATGTCTCTCCTCTTTCTCTCTCTCTCTCCCCCTCCCTCTCTCTCTCTCAAATCAATTAAAAAAATAAGATAAAATTCCATTTTTGTTACAGTTTTTTCCCCCCCAAGACTTAGTGCAGTGTTTTTCAAATTGCCCTCAAGGGATGCTAAAGGTTTCTCAGAGCTCTGCCAGGGCCTGATGGTGAAGGGAAGGAGGACAGGCGGGAAGGGCATATAGCCGTTAGCAGCCCCTGGAGACTTTGCCTCTGCTCTTTGCTTCAACCAGAGAGGCTTCACTAAACACGAGGGAGATGGTGTGTGCGCACGCGCGCGCTGTAATTCCCAGAATTCCTTTTAGAAGGGGTATTCGGTTCTTACAAAGAATTCCCTTCTCAAGCCTCCTTAGGGAGGAAGCTGAGACATTGTGGCCTGGGTGCTGGCTGAGAAAAGCAGTTTTGTTCTTTTTCCTCAGAGGGAGGAGAGACCGCTTAGCCAGGAAAGTGGCAGGACAGCCAGCCTGTGCTCTGTGATGAGTCCCCAGCCTGTGACTTCAGACCCGCAGAAATTGACAAAACTTACAAAGTGCTTGGCATAAGTAGATTTCTTTCCTGAGCGGGAGCGCACGTTCTGAGGTTCATGCCTGGATTGCAGTGGAGGAAAACAGAGTGAACAGAAGGGAATGAAGAGGGTGAACCCTAGGGCTCAGCCAAATTCTTGGAGAGGTATAGGGTTGCCGTGTCTCCAGCCTGGAGATTGCAGTAATCCTTGGCTGGGGAGTTCGCAGTTCCTGGTTAAATGTATTTTGGGGTTCCAGGTGGGATGTTTCTCCTTTTTCAAAAGTGAAGCAAAATTTGTGTGTTGCAAAATGCACACATATTAGGTACACAGCTCAATGATATGTGTCTAGATTCTTACAGTTATATACACCTATATGAAAATATTATGGAATATTTCCTTCATTCCAGAAAGTTCTCTCATGCCCCTTTCCAGTCACTATCAATAGTTTGTTCTTTTTTATTGCTGTGTAGTATTCCATTGTTTATATATTGCCACATTTGTTTATTCAGTCTCTTGCTGATAGGTTTTGACTTGTTTCCAGTTTTTGGTTATTTTGAATAAATTTGCTATGAACAAGTCATTTCTCTTGGGTGTATACCTAGGAGTGGAAATCCTGGAATAAAGGGAAGGTGTATGTTTATTAGAAACTGCCAAACAATTTCCAGTGTAGTTGTACTATTTTAGACTACATCAACAATTCATGGCCTAGTTACTCCATCCATTCCAGCACTTCGTTTTGTCAATCTTTTTAAATTTAGTCATTCTTATGGATACATAGTGTATATCACTGTGGTTTTAGTTTGCATTTTCCTGATGAGTAACACTTTTTAGCACATTTTCATGTCCTTGTGGATCATTTGAATATTTTCTTTCATGAAGTGCCTATTTAAGTCTTGCCTGTACCCCCTCCCCAGCTTTTTTCTATATTGGAAAAGTTCTTTATATATTCTGGATGTGAGTTCTTTGTTCTATCTATCTATCTATCTATCTATCTATCTATCTATCTATCTATCTATCATCTGTTGTATTTTCTCCCAATCTGTAGCTTGTCTTTTTACTTTCACAATGGTTATTTTTAAAAATGTTTTATTGATTTTTTAGAGAGAGAGGAAGAGAGAGAGAGAAACATCCGTGTGAGAGAGAAACATCAGTCAGCTGTCTCCTGCATGCCCCAGGCACATGCCCTGACAGGGAATTGAACTGGGACCTCCTAGTCCATGAGACAACGCTCAATCCACTCAGCCACATTGGCTGGGCACAATGATTATTTTTGATGAGCAGTAGTTTTTAATTTGATGAAGTCCCTTTTTCTTTTATGGTTTTTGCCTATAACATGTTTTACAACCTTAAGGTTCAGAAATATATCTTCCTTTTTTTTTCTTTTAGATGATTTATGGTTTTAGCTTTTACATTTAAATGTGTGATTCATCTTGAATTGATTTCTGTATGATGTATATGATGTGAGGGAGGGAGAAAAAATTTGTATTTCTTTACAGATTACCTAGTTGTTCTAATATGTCTTATTGGGGAAAAAAAAACTTTCTTTCATCATTAAATTGAATCGATACTGTTGTTAAATATAAATTGACAGTAGAAGAGTGGGTCTATCTATTTGTTATTATTAAGTGTATTTCACCTTTTAGGTCCTGATACATCAAGAGAAAGCACGTTTCAGGTGTCTTGCCCAGGAAGTCTAGATCCAGAGATTAGTGCACATGGAAGGAAATAGTATGTGGTTGTTAAATTTCCCTTATTCCTAAGAACAATATTCTTACTGTGCATATAGTTCTTCTGATGGTAAAGGCATTCAATGCCAGACTTTTAACCAGTCCATGTGGATTCAGGGTGTGCCACAGCCAAAATCAAGAGACTCTCAGATTTCCATCCTTTCCCCGCCAAGCCCCTCAGGTATTACTGTACTCATTTACTTCCCCTATCTCATTTATTAAAATTTACTCTTAGGAAAGTATCTGCAAATCTGTCACAAAAAAGTGTAAATGGCTAACAAAACTTTCTATGGATATTGACACCTTGGCTGGAGTAAATGCTTTGAGAGGAAGAAATACAGCAGTGACATATTATGCACGAGATGCGTGAATACATTTGGGAAGTAGAATATTTATAGTACCTATTAATCTCATCAGTTAGGTGATCACCTCTTTTGCTTTTACTAGATAAAGCTGGTGTTTTTTGTTCTGACTTTGTTAAACTACATGTCTTTTCTATCTGCATCCTTCTCCAGGGACCCACCTCTCTCCATTCCAACAGTGCAAAGTTGGCATAAGCTGCTCACCAGGAAGGCGGTAGTTTTATAACATGGGAAAAACAATGTTGGATTTCATAGTTCTAGGGAAGAGTCGAAAACTTAACAAAAATGTATCTAATTGTCCCCAGATATTTTTATATTCTTAAATTTTCTCTTAAACTCTGTTTAAATATACAATTTAGTGATTGGTGTTTGCATTACATCTATGTTAATGATTTGTTCAGCTTTACTGAGGTATAATTGATGAATAAAATTGTAAGATATTTAAAGTGTACTTGTAATAATTTGATATATACGTACATTATAAAAAGATCCACCATTAAGCCAATTAAGATATTCATCACCTCACCTATTTACCTTTTTGGGGGTGGTGGTGAAAACACTTCAGTTGTACTCTTTTAGAAAATTTCAATTATACAATCCAGAATTATGAACTATAATTACCACATTTTTCATTAGATCTTTAGATGTATTCATCTTAAAACTGAAAGTTTATAACCATTTAGCAGCCTCTCCCTATTTCCCCTACCCCCAGCCTCTGGCAACCACCATTTGACTCTCTGTTTCTATGAGTTTGACTTTTTTTTTTTTTTTTAAGATTCCACATATAAGGGATACCATGCAGTATTTATTTTATTTAATATAATACCCTTCAGGTTCATCCATGTTGTCACAAATGGGACTATTTACTTTTTTAAGACTGAATAATATCCCATTGTGTATGTGTATATCTATATCTATATCTATTTATCTAATCTACATCTATATCTATGTGTACATAACCTTTTCTTTATCCATGCATCTATTAATGGACACTTAGGTTGTTTCCCATACCTAGGCTTTTGTGAACAATCCTGCAATGAATATAAAAGTACTGATGTCTCTTTGATAGTGAATTTGTTTCCTTTGGATATATATCCAGAAATGGGATTACTGAATCACATAATAGTTCTATTTTTAATTTCTTGAAAAACCTCCATACTGTTTTCTCTTGTCTTTTTTTCAGCTTTATTGAGATATTGTTTGTGTACAATGTGATGATTTTATTTTTGTACATATTAAAAATGATTACCACAATAAAATTAGTTAATAAACCATGACCTCACATAGTTGCCATTATTTGTTTGTGTGGCGAAAACTTTAATAATCTACTTTCTTAACAACTTTCAAATATACAATACAGTATTGTGAATTATAATCACCATGCTGAACATTATATCCCCAGAACGTAGTCATCTTATAACTGGAAGTTTGTACACTTTGACTAACTTCACCTATTTCCCCCAACTTCTTGCCTCTGGTAATGACCAATTTACTCCCTGTTTCTTCCAGGTTTTTTTGTTTTTTTGTTTTTTTTAAATAAAGATTGTACATATAAGTGAGACTATAGAATATTTGTTTTTCTCTAACTTATTTCACTTAGCACAATGCCTTCAAGTTCTGTGTATGTTGTTTCAAATGGCAGGATGTTCACCTGCAGATGGACATTTAGGTTGTTTCCATGTCTTAACTATTGGAAATAATGCTGCAGTGAACATGGGGTTGCAGATATCTTTTTAAGATAGTGATTTAATTTTCTCTGGAAAAATACCCAGAAACAGAATTGCTATATCATTATATGGCAACTCTATATTTTATTTTTTGAGGAACCCTCCACTCTGTTTTCCACAGTAGCTGCATGAATGTTCCCTTTTCTCCACATCCTTGCCAACACTTGTTGTTTGTTGATACATTGATAATAGCTCTTCTCACAGGTGTGAGGTGATATCTCATTGTGTGTTTGTGTGTGTGGTTTTAATTTGCATTTTTCTGATAATTAGTGATGTTGAGTATCTTTTCATTTACTATGGTTTTGGGTCTTATGTTCAAGTCTAATCTATATGAATTGATTTTTATGTAAGGTGTAAGATAGGTGTCCAATTTTATTCTTTTGCATGTGGATATCCAGTTTTCCTGACACTATTTATTGAAGAGACTGTCCTTCCCCCATTGTGTATTCTTGTCTCCTTTGTAAAAAATTAATTGACCATATATGAATGAGTTTATTTCTGGGCTCTCTATTCTGTTCCATTGATGTATGTGTCTGTTTTTATACCAATACCATGCTGTGTTGATTACTATAGCTTTGTAATATCGTTTGAAATAAAGAAATGGGATGCCTTCAGCTTTTTCTTGTTTATCAAGATTGCTTTGACTATTTGGGTTCCCTTGTGAACTATTTGAATTAAAAATTTTTTTTTTCAATTTCTGTGAAAAATACAATTGGAATTTTCATAGGGATTACATTAAATCTATAGCTTGCTTTGAGTAGTATCAGTATTTTAACAATATTAATTATTCCAATCCATGAACATAAAAAATATTTCCATTTATTTGTGTCTTCAATTTCTTTCGTCAATGTCTTATTATTTTTAGTGTATGGATTTTTTACCTCTTTTGTTAAATTTGTTCCTTAGTATTTGATTCTTTTTGATGCAATTGTTAATGGGATTGTTTTCTTTTTTTTTATCCTCACCTGAAGACATTTTTTTTTTTTTTTGCACTTATCTTTAGATAGAGCAGGAGGAAGAGAGGGAGGGAGAGAGAGAGAGAAACATCGATGTGAGAGAGACATATCGAGTGGCTGCCACCCACACGACCCCAACCAGGGCTGGGGACAAACTGCAACTGAAGTACATGCCCTTAGCGGGAACGGAACCTGGGACTCTTTGGTCTGCTGGTCGACGCTTTAACCGCTGAGCCAAATTGACCAGGGCAGAATTGTTTTCTTAATTTCTTTGTTAGTGTATAGAAACTACTTTATGTGTGTACTGATTTTGTATTCTACAACTTTACTGAATTTGTTTATTAGTGCTAACTATGTTGGGTGGAGTTTTTAGGGTTTTCTCTATATAATATCATGTCATTTGCAAATAGAGACAATTTTATTTCTTCCTTTTGGATTTGGATGCCTTTTATTTTTTGCCTACGTGCTCTGGCTAGAACTTTCAGTTGATAGTTATTAAGCTGATACTTATTTTTTAAAAAGTAGAATGTACATATGAATTAGCCAACCTCACCCTAATTATTTGGCTCATGGCATTCTAGTCACTTGGTGTTTCCTGGACAATCCTAACTTTCCTGGCTACGGAAAATTCCTGATATTGTAAAAAAAAAAAAAAATGTTTTTATTGCAAAAGATAACACAAATTCTAGCCAAAACAAGGCAAAGAAAAAAATAATTCTGGTCACAGAAGGCTCTGGTTTTCCACTGGAAGGTGGTTGCCAGTAAGGGGCAGAGTGTGAGGTCCCAGAGAGATTCCCAAACTGTGAGTCCTGAGCATCTGTGAGTTGGAGGTTAGTAACTTGCAGTGGGTTAGGGATGGAGATGCAATAGGGGGAGAGGAGGCTGGGATTGGGATGTAATGTGGCTGTTTAACCCATATCTGCTTCTATGGCCAACTTCAGTGCCGCTTATGCAGATGTGCTGAGACTGAAGGTGGGAATAAAGTAGCTAAAGCCAAAAAGTCTGGGTGCTGTGCTTGCCCCAGGGCACCCTTCTGGGCAAGGATGAGGGTGCAAGCATAATTTGAAGAGTTATAGAAACAATGATGTTGTCAAAGATCCTTCAAGAGTAAATCTTTCAGCCCCCTGCAGTTTATTTCACTTCCAAAGTGAGTGTTGTAGCCATCATCTTCTCCTTCTCCGCAGGACAAAGGAACTGGTGATCTCAACAACCACCATGGTGTTGGGTACTCTCAAAACAATACAGAAACATTTGTGTGACTTCAGGGATCATTCAAATATTTGCCCGGTAGCCTGGTCCCCAAGTTGAGTTGTGCTTTTTCCCTTTGAGGGGACAGGGAAGGAAATTGTAAGGGTTTATCCACCCTGGATACTAATCAAGTGACCTGGTGATACTGAAGTTGGCTGTCAACTTTTATGACTAACAACAAATGCCAGGGTGGGGTAATGTTATGCAATTCATGTTACTGCACCTCTCCCTGGGATGAAAATTGAGTTGGATGCAACTCAATTCTGGGTTCATGTTGTAGAACATCCATCTGGGCGCATGTAACATTCCAGTCCTTACAAGCAGTTTGTCCTAGCTCAATGGCCATGCCACCAGTACTAGCTGAGAATTTTGTGCCTGGGCAGATGAAGCTCTTTAATCAGCAGGGGACAGATGCTGGTCACAGCACTATCCCATTGTCAATCAAGAGCCAAAATGATCAATATTTCTCCAAACAAGTGGAATTTCTTTGCCTTCTGTGTTATTTGCATTTTAACCTTTCTAGTGTTCCTTTTCCCCTGCACTGACCCAGCAACCTTGGAAAAGAAGGGAAGGCAGAGTTAGACATTAAGTATTCTCTTCTTTTATACCTACCGATATTTAGGAATATTGTGTTCTTATAGAGGGCCTTCTAAAGACTTAAATAGAGCATTAGCAACCCAAAAGCTTACATTAAATTGAATAATTAGGTCTTGGGATAATACTTCTAAGATGCTGGAAACCTCCAACTTAAAAGCTTATTGCGCAGAAACCTGGGGTGATATTGCTGGAAATTACTCAAACATACTGACAGTTATGATTTCACAAGTCCTCTCAAATACAAGCTTCCTTGCTGTTTTCACAGATACCACTCCATCAGATCTTTCATCACACCCTTACTGGATTATTGTTGACACTTCCTGGCTGGGTCTCACCCTTCTATTACCACCTGAAAACCAAATTCTTTCTTATCAGTCTTTTAAAAATTACTGTTCCATAACTTGGGAACTTCCTATCACCTATCAAATCCATTCTAAATTCTTAAGAATCTCACCTGAGTACTCAAGGTTCTTCTTGAGCCAGCCTTCTCTCTCAGAACTCCCCTCCAGCAGTTGGGTCTGTGTCTCTTGCACCACGTCCTCATTCTCATTTATGACCCATACTCTTGCTCCTGTGATGCCCCTTGAGAGGGATGTTACACTTCCTCTTCTCCATCAACTTAAGTTCAGTACTGCTTTCAAAAACCACACCACTCAGAGCCTTCTGTGGTTCCTCTTAGCACTTGGTTTGCACTATGTATTCTTTTTTTAATTATTATTAGTTTGTTTTTATTACAGATGTTTCTCCTTTCCCCATTGGCACCCTCTTCTCCATCATGTTTTCATATTATCTCAGTTATTACACTTATATTCTGTGTATCTTCTCCATGATCTGATTCTAACCTCTTCCATGGCAGAGACAGCTGTGTTGGCTGCCACCCATTGTATCCTCTAGATTATCAAACACAGCATCTGCCCAGCAAATTCATAGGTCTCACCACTTTCTTAGTGGGAGAAGGGGCAACTTCCAAAGTAGTCTCATGGGGTCCTTGAAGGTCATTGGCTGAACACATCTAGGTTAAGTTCTCCATTTTGTACTTGAGGAAACTGAAGATCAGTTTGCATTCAGTGCTTGCTAATCATAGGACTCGGACCAGACTTAACCACCAGTTTACGTGGTGTTAAGTATCCAAAATAAAGAAAAATCCAACCAATCACTTTGCCAGTGGCTTCTAACACTGTCTGTTGTCTGTCTGCCTAGTTATGTCTCTCTAATGATAAAACAGTTCCACAGATGCAAGAATGGTAAGGGTAACCTTCTTGTTTTCTTCATACAGTTAAGCTGGGCTTATATCTTCTGTATTTTTATACAGAGAATGGCTGGATTCTAGAGAGACAAACAGCTTACAAAAGCAGGGCACTCCTGCCGACGGTGAGAAGCCAAAGCCTTGTCTAGCTCTGTCATGGGCGGCAAGTGACGATGAGTCAGGAAGCAGGTCAGAATTGATAAACCTGTGGAACAACCAAAACAGGTTTTGAAATTGCAAACAGAACCCTTAATTGGCTCTGGCGTCATTCCTTACCTATCTGGGTTTAAATATAACTCATACAACCCTAATCATGACCTTTGATTTTCCATCCTGAATTGATTATTTCTACCCTGAGATAGTCTACAAAGGGATTTAAATCAGCATGCCTAAGTGCTTAATACACAATCACAAGATAAACTTATATCATATGTAACTGAGGAAACTGGGACTGGAGGAGAGAAGAAAAATAAGAGTAAGAAGAAATAAAAAATTAAAGTCAAGGTTATTACACCAAATGCTGGCTTCTCTAAGGTAGGGTTAGTTGCCAAGAGGCAAGCCTGCAGCTTTGGCTTTTATGGTCCTTGAGCCAAAGCAAAGACAGAAACAAGGTCAGCTACACAATTCATGAAGAGAAAATAAGAACAAACTCGCTGTTGATGATAAGACAGCTATTTCCTGATAGCACAGCATGGTGGACATGTTTCCCATGGTCGCAGAGGGAGGATATATGTAAAGCAGTGAGGATTGTCTTCAACACATCCCTTCAGCAAATGCAAGATCCACAATACTTAGAAACTGTTTCTTATATATGGGCTGAAGGGTAGCTGAGAAAAAAAGCAATTTTGCATAGCAAAATGATCAGTGTGAAATGCCTTAAGCTAGCTTAATTCAAAAATAAAATCTAAAGTATCTAGAAAAATGGATTTATTGGATCTCCTTTGGGCAGTCTCCCATAGACACTGTTCCTCACAGATAAGCAGCCAGCAGTTCAAGATTATATCCCCTCATGATTAACTGGGCTTCTGTTTCTCTGGACTGCTGACCAAGGGCTGATACAGATGTTTTATAATTCGACGAGTCAGTCATCTAATTCGTTTTTTTTTTATCCTCACCCGAGGACATTTTTCCATTTTTTTGTACAGATAGAGTGGGAGGGAGAGAGAGAGAGAGAGAAACATCGACGTGAAAGAGACACATCGAGTGGCTGCCACCCGCACAACCAACCAGAGCCGGGGACAAACTGCAACCGAGGTACATGCCCTTAGCGGGAACCGAACCCGGGTCTCTCCAGACCGCAGGCCGATGCCCTAACCGCTGAGCCAAACCGGCCAGGGCTCTAATTCATTTTTATAATTGAGTTGTTTGACAGTCTATATGCTTGGTCTGAACTTAATCTTGAGACCCAATAGTTTGATCCAAGCCAGTACAGTCATGAGGCTGCAAGGTAGTACAATTCCAAGGGCATTATCCACGCTGCATTCTAAAGGGAGTTCAAGTTTATGAAATGTTCTAACTAAGGATACTTTCTAATTTTTCAGTACAAATGCATGTAAAGGGCGAGAAGCCGCTTATGGAATGGACTTAAATTCATCTGAGTTCTCCGGACCGCAGGCCGACGCTCTAACCGCTGAGCCAAACTGGCCAGGGCTCATCTGAGTTCTCAAAGAAAGGCTTGAGGTAGAATAGCATATTCATTTATATAATGAGCTTTGGAGTCAGAGATGGCTGGGCTCAAGAATCTGTGTACGTATGTAGTTCTGTAACCCTGGGCAAGAACTTTGTCTTTCTGAGCATCAGTAGTTCCTTGTATGTAAAATGTAAACAATAGTAAGTACCTCACAGGCTGTGAGGATTAAACAGAAAGTATGCAGAGTATTTGGCTCAGTGCCTGGCACATGTGTTGATAGTATTCCATAAGTGGAAGCTGGTTGTCGTTTCATTTCCAGATATCCTAGCAACCATCTTACATTTTGCACCATCAGGTGCATCTTGAAGGATCTAGAAATGTAAAGAGAAATGAATAAAGTAAAACAGGATAAAAGAATGCATTTGGATTAATTTTAAATATTTGAAATAGGTAAGATAAAAAGTCTCATCGTTATAACCACACCAGGCTGAGTATCTAAGTATGTTTTTCTTTTTTCCTGTTTTGATATGAAGTGTGGTCCTTAGTAGAGTTGTTGTGTGGGTAATGCTAGATGGTCTTTTGGTTTCAGGGTCTACTTCTGACTGAACCTTTCATCTTCTGTTCTCCTTCTCCAGTGTTCCATGGCTTGGTCCTCCCACTCCCCAAGTCAAAAAGATGGTGTCATCCTCCACTGTTCCCCCCATCTCAGCCCCCTCCTTCAGCAATAACTAGTTCTTCAGTTACACTGGACTCTATCCAATCCTCTCCATCTGGCTGCACCATCCTCATATAGGCCATGACTACCTCTCCCCTGAATCACAGCATTTAACCCCCCCACACTCTCCTCTTCACCCATTCTTCACATAACAGCTAAAAATTTCTTCTCAAAAGGAAGTCTCATCACACTGTATTCTTAGTGGAAACCCTTTACTAGTGTTCCACTGCCCATAGGATACAGTTCTCATTGTGTAACATGGCTCAAAAGCTCTTTCTGATTTGGTTCCTGCTAACTTCTCCTAGGGTGCCTTTCTCTCTGCCTCATGCTGGAAACCCTTCCCTGTGCTTCCATTTGATTGGCTGATTCCTCTTTATCTTTCAGGCTTGTTATGGGCTGAAGTGTGTCCCCTCCTCAAAATCAAGCGGTGAAGTCCTAACCCCCAATACCTCATAATGTGACTCTGTTTGAAGACGGTCTTTAGAGAGGTAATTAAGTTAAAATGAGGTCACTAGAGTGGGCCTTTGCCCAATATGACTGGTGTCCTTATAAAAAGAGGGGAAAAACACAAACATACAGAGGGAAGGACCATGTAAAGACACAGGGAGAAGGCAAATATCTACAGGCCAAAGAGAGAGGCCTCAGAAGAAACCAACACTGCTGACACCTTCAGCTCAAACTTCTAGCCTCCAGAATGGTTAGAAAACAAATTTCTGCTGTTTAAACCACCCAGTCTATAGTACTTTGTCATGGCAACTCTAGCAAATTAATATAAGATTTAAGCCCTTGGGACACACACAACCCTGTCCCTCCACCCCCCAACTGCCACCTGTATGCCTCTGCTACGAACTACTCTGGCACTTTATAATTGTAATTTCTCTATCAGAGTTCTTACCACAGTGTATTGTAATTGTCTGTCTTGTCTTTTTTTGATTGCTTGTGTTGCTTTTGTTTTTGGTCTGTATGCCTATCTACATCATATGCTTTATAGGCAGAGACTATGTCTGTTCATCATTTCATCCCCAGTGCTTAGCTTTGTGTCTTATAAGTTCCAGGCATTCAAAAAATAGTTGAATGAATGAATGAATGGACAAATTGAAGATGACTTAAATCTTAGACCTGGAGACCCAGGATGTAATTTTTAGGCTTTCTCAGAAGATTCAATGTCAGAGATTGGTTAAAAGAATGTTAACCAGTGGGGGGAAGTAGAAGAGGGTATGGGGGGATAAATGGTGATGGAAGGAGACTTGACTTGGGGTGGTGAACACACAATACAATATACAGATGATGTATTATAGAACTGTACACCTGAACTTATATAATGTTAGTAATGAATGTCACCCCATATAAATTCAATGAAAAAAAAAAAAAAGAATGTTAACCAGGTTATGGTTCTCAGCACAAATTGTAGGAATCATCCCCTTTCTACTACTGTGGTTACACTGCGATCCTAAAGCCAAACAAAGATAACAGAGGATGGATGGCAAAACACTGTATAACTCCAAATGGAACTAAGAATAACTGATTCAGGTATAAGGAGCAAAATAAAGTGGTTATAGGTGAAATTAGACCCAGATTCAGCAATGACAGAAGAGTTCTTATCTTTCATAATTCTTCAGTAGACATGTCAATCAAGTGCCATTCGTACTTCTGAGCACCAGTAATTCCGCTGCCTCATCTGGTTCTGCAAGCCTACGTGAGAAGGTGGGGCTCTCAGCCAGAGCAAAGCCTGGAGACAGAGGGTGGAGTCAGGAGTTATGAAGTCCAGGACAAGTAGTCAGACGAGATTTTTACTCAACAGGCTCTTAATGACTCAGTTAACCTGTGAACCAAGACTTTCATAACCTGTATGACATATTCAGGTTACTTCCTGCTTCTGCAGTCAACTGTGGAGA